CTGGACGGACAGGAGCCTTAATGTTCCGAGAACCAGGGCGTAGGAGAGGGGAGAAATTGAACCGCGTGAAAAAGAGGGCCCATCTAACCTGTCGGGAATTCAGTCTGCAGGCCGACCGGATGTATTCAGATTCTTGTGGTCAGTCACCCGGAAGGTTGACGGTCACCTCAGCCAGTTGACGGGCCACTCCCTCCAGTGCCAACTTCCACTGCTAGCAGCTCCCGGTTTCCTACATCATAGTTTCTTTCCACTTGTATCAAACGCCTCGGGAAAAAAAAAAAAGGAAAGCACAGGGATGACCGGGTTTTTGGCTGCTGGTTGCTCGCCGGGAGACAGGATGGCCCCCACCCCATATCCAGAAGCATCCATCTCCAAAACAAATTGTCTTTTCAGGATCGGGTATCGGAGGAATGGGTGCGCAGGTGAACTTGGCTTTAAGGTCTGAACGCCTCCTCAGGCCGAGGAGGACCACTGGAACATAACCTTAGAGGAGGTCAGAGCTGGTCGAGTGGAACGGCCAAGTTGCTGTTATCCACGAATGGAAACTGTTGAAAAGTTGGTAACCCGAGGAACTGTTGTAGCCCGCTTTCCGCGGGAGTCTGGAACCGGCCACGAAGTGGAGGGATCCATCTCAATGCTCCCCTGTCGACGATGTATCCCAGAAAAGAGAGCAGTAGGAAGGTGTGAAGCTCGCACTTCCTCAGTTTTAACAAAACAGCGAGCTTCTCAAGCAATCTCTTGGAAGAACCGGCCTGGACGTGGGTGCACGTGTTCTTTCAGAGTCCTTGAAAAGATCAGGACTGTCATCCAAGTAAATAAATATGGGCCGGTCCAACATGTCACGGAGCACGTCATTTACCACGCCTGGAAGAACCGTACTGAGCCAGGCTTGATCAGTGTGAAAAGCATCACCAATACTCGTAGTGTCTCGAAGCTTTATTAATTCGCGTCTGTGCACTCATCCCCGTCGCGAATAACGTACCGCAGGTGGGTAGGGTGAGATCGGTACGCAAGTACAGAGGTTAGTGGACAGTTGGCTCCTGCAGCAACAGACACCAAGAGGAAGAATGAAGAGGCATTGGGGTTAATCGATTCTGGATAGTAATGCCATTTACAGACGGGAAATCGATGACAGTCGGCACCTAGATTGCTGTGTGCTTTCTTGTTGAACAAAGAATTGTCCCCGCTCCAGTGGGTGAGAGGAAGTGCCATTAATTCCCATAGACGCCGCAGAAGCTCAGCTGACTGATATACCGTCCGTATGGACAACTCTTTCAGCGCACACAAAAAATACACTCACCCGTGTGAGGTAGGTTGACGGAGAGCAAGTGTCGACTAGGCATAGAGCGTCTGATCCGCAGTCCGGATGGACAGAACACAGTACAGCCAGAGTTTGAGCTGAACACCTGTCCTCGTTGCAAGACAGCTTATTCTGCTGTGAAACCACTCTAACAACCGAACTCGGCTAAGCTTCCACCGAACACTGAGGAGCGGCAGGCCAGTTTAAGACAGATCTGAGTACAAGAGGGGCTCCACCGCAACATAGCTCCAGTCTCCCAGGAAATGTTAGGGTTGTGAGCGCGAAGCCATGGGGTAACGCAGGATAAGCAGGATTACATGTAGATCCGTACAACATAAAACTGATAGTTCATGATAAGGTTCCCGGACAGGAGCATGTGAACTGGTAAAGTCTGATGAGTCACTGTCCCCAGCAGGTGGACCGTATAAATCAGTGACCACCAACTGGCGGCCCGCGGGCCACATCCGGCACGCCAGACATTCTCATCCGGCCCACGCGACTTGGGTGACAGTGGCGTTGGCGGAGTGGTTACTGCGTTCGCCACCCCGCCCATTTTTTTTTATACAACGTCTCGTGAGTAAGGTGCAGTACCAGAGTCCAACAGAGAGGCAGCAGCTGCGGGACAGTAGACTGCCTACTGCGAAACCTTCCCTGCCTTGAAGAAGAAGTGATCCTTCGTTGTGAACAGTCTTCTTTATGCGCTCCACAGCAGCAGCCCCGCTGCGACAGAGTCCAACAGAGAGGCAGGAGCTGCGGGACAGTAGCCTAGAAGCAAGGTTGGGTTGTAACGGAATATATGTAACGGAGTTACGTAATCAGAATACAAAAATCAAGTAGGCTAACTGTATTCAGCTGGCGTTACATTTGAAAAACGAGAGTAATCTGATTACAGTTACTTTCGTAAACCTGAAGTGAATACATTTTGGAATACTTATTGGAATTATTGGTGGAAAAGTTTCCTCACAAAATGTAATATTCCTTACCGGCAGAACTGTGTGCACACTGCACAGCGCTGCAGCATGTCTGTGAGCGAGAGAGATGCAGTGTCTGTGAGGCCCCGCCCCCGCACGCAGATGAGAGCGAGATCTCTTTTAAAATATATTGAAAGTTAGAAACGGAGATGGTTAGATAAAATGTGCAAGATAACGTTTATGTAGCATTTATTTATTGTCGAAATGATGACATTTCATAACGGGATCAAATCAAAGTGAATGGCCCTGCTGTCGCTGAATGCATGGGACAAGTGACTGGAAAAAGTTTTAAAAGTTATTACATCGTTTCAGATAATAATAATGATAATTCATTCTATTTAGGGGCGCCTTTCAAAGCACCCAAGGACACCTTACAAAACCTATTCCAAGGAAATGTTTTAAGACAGGACAAAGAATGCAGTCCGGGTGATGTTTTTTATGTGGGGTGCAGATGAGAGGGAGCTGTCCAGAATGACACCAAGATGTTGTGTTTGAGTTCTTGATAAGCCATTAAAACAGTAAAATAAGTGTCTCCTGTAGCCTACACCAAAACATACCCATCTGTTATGGAAAAAGAAAGTATTCCAAAAGTATTCTAAAAGTAATCTAAATACGTAACTAACTGTATTCTGATTACTTTCAGAGCATGTATTCAGTATTCAGTAACTGATTACATTTACAAAGTAACCCCCCCAACCCTGCCTAGAAGTGATCCTTCGTTAGCCTGAAGAGTCTGCTTAGCTTTATGCGGTCCGCAGTACCTGAGCGTGGTCCACTAGCATTGTGGACTATATCAAAATCGCTGGCCCGCGATAGTGTCTATTGGATACATTTTGGCCCTTGGACAAATGTAGTTGGTGATCCCTGCACTAGGGGTTTTTAAATTCTCACTAAAGACTAGGGATGGGTATCGTTTTAAATGTATCGATTCCGATTCTGCTTATCGATTCCGGTTCTTATCGATTCCCCCTTTCGATTCCAAAATCGTAAAAGAAAGAGGTCAAACGTTTAGATAACAAAAATATCTTTATTCTTTTAAACGCAATACAAATGTATTGCACAATAGCTGTGCTTTATTTTAACTGAGCTATGCCTGTGGCAAGCTATTAACAGGCATTACACTGGGCCTTGTCTTTTTCTTTTTTAGTGTAGTGGAGCCTCACTTTAGAGCGTTTACCGCGATCCATCTTTGGTGTTATGAAGTGACTGAGCTCGTGAACTGTCAATGGGAGGGTGGGGGGAGCCTCCCTGCGGGGCAACTGTGGACCTCTGTCGCCTGTCAGCGCAATTTACATGATGCTGTTTAAAAAGATTAAGGGTGGTGCCGGCCGTCAATGGCCCGCTGACGACCGGGCGTTCTGTGATTCTCCAGAACACACAGAGGGCCAGTCCGCCCTTGCCCTGTATTCCACCGGGTCACCGCGGCGCAGACGGACCCCGGTGGAATACAGGGTCTACCGCGTTTAGGAACCGTTAAGCAGAACCAAAATTGTGTATTTTGAATGGGTACCCGGCATTTTCTTATCGGTTCTCATCTGGAACCAAGTTTCGGTTCCCAACCCTACTAAAGACTCACTTCTTCTCCCTGGCCTTCTAGTCAGAGCGGAGCATGACACCTGACTATTCCCTGTATTTTTGTTTTTATATTTCTGTTGTATTATTGTCATTAATTGTTATTAATTATTGTCTTTTATTGTGATTGTAGTAATGTGTTTTTATTACATGTACAGCACTTTGGCTCGACCAAAAATAGCTTTTAAAATGTGCTATATAAATAAATCTTGATTTGATTTGAGACACCGTCTTGTTGTCGCTTGCAGTTTAGAGCAGAACACGTTACAATGTGAAAGAGTGGTTCCAGCTCACTGAGATTTTTCACATAGAGGTGAGACATCTGAGAAGAAACTATGAAGTTTGTCTTTGAAAAGATGCCATTTGGGAACAGTTGTTGTTTAACCTCCTACCCAACAGGAGACACTGATCTAGTTCATCTGGTTTAACCGTGGAAAATCTGAGAGGAAGCATTTAACTTAATGCCTAAACGGTAAGATCAGGTCGGGTCATTGAATTGAAACTAGGAGTGGTGCAGGAAGCAGGAAGTTAGCATTGCACCTGTTCCCTCGCCAAAAAGCAAATGGGGTTTTCCCAAGTGTCTAAATGACAATACTAAACGTCATGATGCTGAACATTAGCCACCTTTAGCTTAGCGGTGGTGACGTAAAGTCATGTGACTGTGATGTTGTTTGTTTGTTTGCCTGCCTAACGTTAACTTCTTAGTTCTTACGATTTCTACGCTTAGCTATTTCCGCTTCAACATTTATACAAGTGGTGTTTAAATGGAAAATGTAATTGTAATCATCATAAACCTTTGTTTGCCACAGAGCTTATTTTCAGATAAACAAAAAAATCCAATGGTTAGCACCCACAGTTTGTATGACACATGGAAGCTTCAATCATTCACATTAGGGGGATTTACTGACGGAAAATGTTGTAGAACAAAATATTAAAATATGTTAAGCTTGTTATAAAACAAAAAAAAATTCAGGCTCCCAACTAAGGGATTGCTCGAGTAAAAACACATTTTCTGGTCTTGGGACATTCCTGTATCACTCTATTGAATGGCCAATTCCGTATTGTAAAACAAAACAAAAAAAAATTCGAAAAGTTACTTCTAAATAACATTTCATATTGATAAAAGAATAATTGAAATCCTATTTCCTGTAACTCACCTGTTGGCGTAAGCACAGATGTTTTCTATGATGGAGCAGTTCTTCAGAGCGGACTCGACCTTCCCCAGAGACACGTACTCGCCCGCCTGCAGTTTGACCAAGTCCTTCTTGCGATCTAAATGAGAATTAAAACGAAACTGGTTACAATAGTGCTCTGTTAATAAAGCACAAACAGTCTGCCTGTCAGGAGTTATACAGCCACATTGGGTGTAGATCAAAGCCAGGAAATGAAGTATGTGGTGACCCCATTACCAACGCTATCAGATGACAGCCTTTGGACTGAATTATACACACCCACTATCTGTAGACAGCCGTCTGGGTAAACCTCTCCAACATCGCCGGTACAGAACCATCTCTGACCCTTTTCATCCGCGAAAAAGTCCTGATCGTTGCTTTCGTTCCTGTAGTAACCCATGGTTACATTGGGGCCGCCGATAAGGATCTCCCCTCTAGGGTTCGGCTTGTCGTCCTTGGTGTAGCCACCTGAGACAAAGTGTTCAAATGTAATTACCTGGGTGTTAAAAATACATTATGTTCCGTGGTGTAATTACAGGTTAAACAGGTTAAAGAGTGGGACAGAAAGATAAGATTAGGGTGTACTAACGGAGTAACAAGTGTTAGGAATTGGTGTTTAATATGTTTGTTTTCAACACGTACCCTCAGCCCAGTCCCTGAGTCTGACCTCACAGCAAATAACAGGAGCTCCAACGCGACCGGTGCTGATGTCCGCAACTGTAGGACAAAGACAACATTTTAATATCATATCCATTCATTCTCATCTTTACAATACAATACAAAAGGGCTTTATTGGCGTGAGCACATGTTAAACATAGTATTGCTGAAGCATTCGGCACAAGGCGTTATAACAGAACAAAAACAAGAAAGAAACACTAAACATGTCAACAATACATGTGGCACAACAGCAAAACACACTGTATATGCCAACATGCAAATAATAATTTCATATATTCATTCTCATCGTTACACTCTCTTCCTGCGCTAAAGGGTCTTACCCTCTGTGATGGTGCCTGCTCCACAGGTCTCGGTGAGGCCGTAGCCCTGACCCACTGGACAACAGAAACAAATGTTCATGAACCTCTGCGTGGCCGAGGAGAGGGGGGCGCCTCCGGACAGCATCATCCTCACCCGGCCTCCCAGAAGTTGCTTCACTTTGCGGAACAGCAGGCTGCAGAGACAAGAGGACTGTGTGTTACAAGTTGAACACCACATTTGTATAAAGGGCAATAAAAGGCGTCATGGCGGTTTCTTACGCATTGCAGAGTGGTGCGTCATAGCCCCTCTTGATCTGCTCCAGTTTATATCTGTAGCCCAGAGTAAACAGCGTCTTCTGGATCAGACTCATTTCCTGCACTTTGCTCATCACATTCTTGTTGATGCGATCCATGATTTCCTTTTAAGGAGAAATAGATAAATAGGTAAATGTATACATTTGATGACGAATAGGTTAAACAGGTATGTATACAAAATAAAGCGGGTTTCTTACCGGCACAGCTGCCATCAGCGTGGGTTTGAGCACCGAGCTGTCTCCTTTACTTCCTCTCTTTATCTTCGTGGACTAGATGGAACAAAAGGCACCGATTACCTTAGGGAGCAACAATGATTCAACTAATGGCAACAATTATTAAACTAATGTACTAGGGACCGCGCCCCAGTTTAATAAAGGATATAATACTTTATTCTGACTGGTTAATTACGGTCATTACTTCATAGCAGACTGCTGCTATGCATAACAGACCGTTGCCATGGACACAGTTCTGCTCGCCTAAACCTGAGCATGGACTTTCTTTTTTAGCAGGAGCAATAAAATCTCTTTTAATCAATATAAACCCTTCATCACTCAAATCAACTCTAAATATATAAACTCACTTTACAATATTTTAAAATCCTAATTTTGACTCAAATTTGGATTTCTTATTAAAATAAATCTGTTTTTGAATCATTAATCTATTAAAAAACCCTAAAATAATTTTTAAATCAACATTCTCTTTCAAATATTTGGTTTACTTAGTTTGTAATTGTGTGATAAAAAAGGATAATTTACAGCAAGTGTGCCATTATTGCAACATAGTGGAATGATATTTGATTGACTGTAACTTAAGAGCCTTGCTCACCACTGACTCTGCTGGACTACATGTTCTCAATAATGACCAGCTTGTTGTACCCTTACATAAAGCCTGAGAAATAGAACATAACATGTGTCGGTGCTGTATAGTACCTGGTTGGACAGCGTCTGTGGGGAGGAGTAGCCGATCCGACAGCCGTATGTGACACAGGAGATTTCAGCGGTCATTTCCAGAACATGAGCCAGGGGCAGGTAGGCGATATAAGTGTCTTTAGGCCTGCAGAGACACAGGGAGAGGAAGTAAAGGTTAGTGTCAAGCTACAACAGGTTTTCTCTTTCTCTTTCCAATGATCACACCAAGCGTCTTTGAGTGCTTTTCCTTGTTTCATACCATTCAACTCTAGATAGCTGGAGGGCGACTATTCTATTCCTGGAAGTCTGTCCCAGCACAAGTTTATACGGAAAAAACAATTATCTTGTCATTTAGATGTTGTTAAAGTTGGAAAATACAAAAGAGGACTGAAGGAATCTGCTATTGAGTAAGAGCTGTGAAAATTGGGTGAATTAAACCATGAATGATAAAAGAGACTGTGAGCAGTGTGCGTGCAGCTTTTTAAGAGTACAATTAAATCAAATTGGAAGTCACCTAAAACAAAAACTACAACATTCCTGAAGCCTTTTCCATCAGGGCAGTCCCTTCTTAGTCAATAAGTTAACTAATACGCCGTTTATGTCTGAGTTAACTAAGATTTCTAAAGTCGATTAGTCATTATTTTAGTTGTTTCCTTCTGAATGACATGTTCACATGTATATATGCACTTTATTTGACCAGCTGTTCATGTTAAATGTACTTGTATGTTTTGGCCTTCATTAATTAGTGCTTAGTTAGCTCAAGTCAACAAACAAATGTGTAGAGGGGATTGTTTCATTTAAAAAACTAAAGTATTTGTTGGTTCACATGAGATATCGTGCAGGACCACCAGGTACTGTTTTATCCCACAGGCCATCAAACAAACTCAAAAATAAAACTCGGAGCTCTGTGAAGTGTCATCACTTAGGTATGTTTATAGCATACACCTCTGTTTATACTCCACATATGTATATATTAGATACAGTATCTAATTTAAGATTAGGTTTGATCTCATTCTATTTCACATGTATTTTGTACTTATTCCTAAAGATGTGCTTATTGCGATTACTTTGACTGATATTGATGTCATTTTCGTTATCGTAGGGATTGTCTTTGAGTCATTATTCTCATTATCATTGAAAGGTTTATTTAAAAAGATAATGTGGTGATTGTTTTTGAGAGCATCTCTACAAAACAACTATATTTTATTAAGATAAGAGATAAGATAAGACTTTATTTATCCCGAAGGAAATTGTTGTGCCAGAGTTACAAAGATATAATAAACACAGCAGCATAATAATACAACAACTGTACACTAGCAGTGCAGTCAAAAGAGCTAATTAAATAAACTACAAGAAACATAGAGAGTCAAATTATTAATATAAAAAAACTGGACAGGGAGTATTGAATACTGCAAAAAAATGTAGTGGTAGATACGTAATTGCACGTTATTATTGCATATTATTTTTAATATTGATCATGTTACATAGCAGAGATTCTTTTTGTTGTAATAATGGTATCTATATTGCACATAGTGGTGGTGTGGAAGTTCTCAGTTCTCTCTTTACTGAAGGGTGTTATAGAGTTTGATGGCAACTGGGAGGAAAGACCTCTAATCTCTGCAGCACCACAATACTTTATCAGGACAATATTTATATTTATCTGTGTTTTGGACAGACAGTACTTCAGTTCTGAAGTACATTAACAACGAGGACAAGCGTTTCCACACATTTGTGGCAAATAGGATCACAACCATAAGAGAGGTTTCAAGACCATGTCAATGGAAGCATGCAGGAACCAAAGACAACCCAGCTGATGCTGCATCCAGAGGAATGAAGATCCCTGACTTTCTGAAGAGCCGCAGTTGGCTTGAGGGTCCCACATATCTTGTAAAATCTGAAGAGGAATGGCCTACATATTATGGCGGTGATGTCATATTGGATTTGGTTGACCCAGAAGTCAGAAAAGATACCTCAGTTAATATCATAGTCAATGAATCACTTGATGCAACAGACCAGCTCATGACTTACTTCTCAGACTGGAAAAGGCTCAAAGTGTCGGTGGCCTGGTTTCTCAGGCTGAAGACAATTCTGTCTGAGTTGAGTCGTAAAAGAAAGAATTTGAATCCCTCTGCACAAGCTGGTCAAGTGAAAAGACTGAAACCCAAAGTCAACCCGGAGAGTCACATCTTGACACCTAAAGATCTCTTGGAAGCCGAGTCGGCTATAATACGCTACGGTCAGCAGCATAGGTTTACTATGTTTAGTACAGGAAGTGTAGGATGTGCATTTCTATGTTTTGAAAAATGACTTTCACATTTGGCTCCTTAATTATTTTCAATTGATACCTGTACTATCAATTAGGGGCTAACATTAACTACTAACCAACCAAGCACGAACAAACCGCACGGAGAGCTATAAGATAGTTAGCACTACCGAAGTGCACAGAACTCAAGCTGCACAACACACTAGGGCTTTTCCTATTTATAAATATGCTTTTATTTTGAAGGAGAGGTAGCGCTGTTGACAGGAAGTTGTTGTTGCTATGGAAACAACGTGACGGAGATTAACGGAGAAAAGTAATATCTACATATAAAGAAGGAGAAAGTAAACAATAAAGTTTATGGTTAAGTGTTAGCACCCCCCGAACAAGTTCTTACGTTGATATTGGAGATTTCAATAAATTCAATTTGAAACACCTAGGGTGAGATTTTTTTGTTTGGGGGCTTTTTGCAGGGCTTCGTGCGCAATCCTGTGAGGAGGAGGTGGTAGCCGTTTCAGTCTCCATAGTGTTTAAAGTGCGATTGCGAACTGCTTGTTGTTGTTTTGGGTGACCCACGTGTGTATGGCGATGCGTCGACGAGGAAACATGTCGTCGACGATATTTTGAAGTCGACGTTGTCGACGCATCGCTACAGCACTATAAGTATCAGACACTTAAACAACAGAGAAGGTTTTGAAAAATATGACTATACTGACAAATGACATCTTATCCTTTCATTGTCATGGTTCTGTAGGAAGGAGGAACATAACAGAGTGGGACTTCCAATACGAAGATTGTGTCCTTAAAACGAGCCACCTCGCAATTGTATGCACATTATTTATTCAGCCGTTTGCTGTTTAATCTGATGGGAAATATATCATTCAAATGAGAGAAAAAAGCGTATTGACCTATACGAACGCTCAATACAGGTGATGACGTCACCTTTGCGCGTCCCCGCGAACAGGGCTTCAATCTACAGCAAACCTTCAACCTACGGCACAACACCGGCGTTAGCTACAGTTAATGTTAGCTAACGTCGGTCACATCTCACATCGTAACATTGTAAAGTTTGTTATCATATATCATGCTATAACTAAAGTAGTATTGATACTATAGTAATGTTACTGGCAGGACTGTTGATACTGATCTATAATAACAGAAACTAATGCGCAAGTATCAGCCGTATCTCGCGTTACCTAATGCAACTCCACACTATAGCCTCATCCATACCCCTCCTCGACTCCTCTCTTCCCCTCCTCCGGGACGGTTATGGCTAGAAAGGATCCGTCTTGTGTAAATATGACGTCACATTCTCGTTGTAACTCTCATTGTAATCGGAGCGGCTCGGAAAAAACATCTACAGCAGTAACACGATGCAACCCCCTTTGTAGGAGCCAATTAACATCTGTGGGTACAAAGGTAGGAACCTATGTTTGGTGGTGAGAGGTTCCGCCGGAAGGCCATACAGTTTTTGACCACACACACGGAGAACACACACACACGGAGAACACACACACACGGAGCACACACGAAGCACACACACAAACACGGGATTAGCAAAGCAAAGGTATTGTGTAAAGTTTCGGTAATATCGTGTGGTGAATATGGAAAGAAGCAAGTAAAATGGAAACCAGTAAAAGTGAAAATAAATGGACTGTTTCAAACTGGAAACTTTGTTTCTGACCTTTATTCGGCAGCAAACTTGTGTGCGTCAATTACACCCACAAAGCGGATCCTCAGAGGCTTAAAGCGTTGGCTTAGCCTCTACACATACTGTGCATGTGACAAATATTTATTTCGTTATAAATATATATATATTGCGAATTGTTCAGTCCTAACACTAGATAAGACCAAAACTCACCCGAGTCCAGGGATGCGCTCACACTGGCCCGTCATGCCTGCGATGAGGTTGCTGTGGACGATCATCACTCCTTTGGGTCTGCCTGTGGAGCCGCTGGTGTACATCACCACGGCCAGGTCAGAGGGCTGGGGCTTCACTATCTCACTCCCAACTGCGAGACAGACAAACAGTTATTGTCTCTTACAGTAAGAGGCTTTTCACCCCTGACTTGCAGGGAGAACCAAGGTGAGTCAGACGGATACGTACTGTTCTCCGGCAGCGCGCCCAGCTCTCGTACGGCCTGCATGCTGTGGATGGACAGGCCTGCTGAGAAGCCTTCTGTGCTCACTTTCTTCTGGTCCACGTAGATCACGTGCTTCAGATTTGGGATCAGAGGAAGCACATTCTGGATAGAAAGAGAGGACACAGCAGCTATTAGGACAGGATGTCAAATCACATGATTTCCTTTAACAAATAGGAATGTTTCCTAGCTCCTTATTTGCTGACTGTTCTTTATAATGGCCAGAAACCACATCTCCATATAAAAAAAAAAAATCGACTGGAACTAACACAAATGTTAATAGAGACAGGAATCCAAAAGAGATCTGTTACTTGATATTATTTAAATAATTTCCCTTAAATCTGGATTCTGTTTGTATCTATTCGTTAAGTTCATATTCACACACATTCCTTTGCTTCCAGGTTTTGTTTTCATTACCTTTCTCACTCATCAATTTTGAACAAATCCAAATTGTGTTTACTTTATAAAAAATTGTTTCCATAGTGAATTAACATATATACCGGTAATAAAAGCTACACCAGCTTCAAAGTGCATCTGGTTGGTTTAAAAATTATTTTAATGATTTATTTCCCCCCTAATTTATTAAGCTGTTTTACCACATCTTCTCTCTGTAAAGCACTTTATACTTTGCTATACAATTCTTCTATAAAATGTAAAAAGTGATTATATTATAATTAGGATCATTAATTCTCTCAACAGATGTTGGTACATCCGTTAATGCGGATGCTGATATTACAACATATATTTTAGGTTCCGCATTCCATTCCATTTGAGCTATTAAGAGTGTCATATGATTATGATTACTGGGATTAGTAATAAAGACAGACAAGCTGTTTCCAGACTATTCACTTCTTTTCCTCTTCTGCCGTTAGGGATGAACTCACTTTCAGTTTGGTCTGGAGCAGTTCTGAACTGGTAACTAGATGTGTAACTTCGGTCTCGTTCAGACCGAAAGCAATTGCCTCCTCTCCCAGTGTGGAATAGAAGGTCACCACTGTTGTGAAAACAAAACACACAGTGAGTGGACACATTTAATCAGCAGTTATAACATCCTGCACTGTACCGTATGATGTGTTTTATACGTACAGGGGAAGTTGCGCCTGAAGCACGCCTGGGCGGTGATCATCCACTCGGCTCTTGTTTCACAAAATATTGCGATACTGCTTTTGGGCTGCTGCCCCAGGGCTGCCAGCCCGCTCCCAAACTCACTGACTATAGAGTCCACCTCATTGTAGGAGAGCCATTTGTAATCCCCCAGGATCAGCTAAGAAAGGGAAGAGTCAGATGTAACTTTAGACATCTTTGTCCTCGCAAGCATCCTTCATCAATAATTAAAAACGTAATATGATGGGAATCCTCACCTTTTTAAATACTTTTCCGCTGGGTTGAATCTCATTCTCTTCACTCAGAAGGTCTCTGGTGCCGAGGCAGTGCTCTGTTCCAAAGCGCTGCACAGCGTGATACATCAGCTTATCAAGCGTGTCCTTGCCGGGGAAGTCCTCCCTGGCCAAGGACTCAAATTGATCCACGGAGCGGTACGGTCCCTCGGCACAGCCTGAAGTGGAGCGGGCTTTCACCCTCTTCGACAGAGCTTTTTTTTCTCCAGCACTGGTGATGTAGTACCAGGGAAGAAAGGACACGATGGAGTACAGCCATATCAGAAAGTGGACTGGAAAAAGGAGGACAGTTTGAAGGGTGGAGTCTGCCTGGAGACCCATACTGGTCTCTGGGAAAGTGCGTGTGGAAGGGGTCTATGGAGCAGCCGTGGTCAGGCTGGTTGTGAAAAGTGTGCTGGTCCCAGAAATTATTTTAATGTGTTGGACTGGAAGCCTCAGAAAGAGAAATGCCCTCTAGAGTAAACACTTTTGTCCCACAATTGTAGTATGAAAATGTTTGGTCCACTCTCCCTACGATGTTGCACCTAAAGATGGAATACAGCAGAAAAGAAACACTTTTAAAAGAAAATGTATTTAAGCACATATGAGATAATAACATTTAACAGGGTTCATACCCCTTTTGCCAAACTCTGATTTAGATTCAGATGAAAACAATTAACCAGCATTTAACAGAAGGTTGTAGATTACATTTCCAAACACTCAGTTAAAAATCCAAACACTTTCCAACTATTAGGACACTCAATTTCAAGTGTTCAAACCCACTTTCAGCCATGTGACGACAGCTAATGTGACAAGAGGAAGTTGGTAACCAAAGAAAGTCTGGTGGCATACTTCTCAGAAACAAATACAGAAGCTTGGCAAAACCATTATTCGCGAATCAAAGATTTAATATAATTACTTAAGGCTATCGGCCATCTGAAAGCTATTCAAACCAATCCCTTGATAAGCTACTCTTGACACACAATATGATTGTGTTATGTTGACTAAGAATACACTCTGTCCTCATCCTAGACTCACCTTGTTCGGTCTGTACCAGACAGATCCTGTATGTCTGTCAGACTCCAAGGCACACTTATATGTGATTCATCCTAAGAGGGTGTGTTTCATTACAAGATCCTTCCCTTAGTAGTGTTCTCACTGTCTTCATTATACCAATACAGGGTAAGTTATCAGATATGTCATGAATGGGGGAAGATGTGTAAGGAGACCGACCAATGTCATATGACCACACCACTGTGAGTTTTGCCTGAAAGCATTGAGCCACGGACAACCAATGACAATACTCTTGAAGCTCACCCCACGCAGTGGCCAGTGGAAGGTCACTTTAGGTCAAGCTGAGCTGCTAATAACCTTTCAGTGGAGGGTACGGAGTGTAAACTGACTAGTATATGTTTTAGTCTGTTTACTAGTTTCAGAGGGATGGGGATGAAACTAGGTATGGCACTTTAAACTGGTTTCCAACATCAGAGCAACTAAATAAAAAAGGAATACAACCAAAGAGTGTAATGAAGTGTAGTTTACATCTATCGTGTTTGACCTACTTTAATATTACAAATTCGATATTGAAAGCTATGACTTTCACAACATTTTACGGTAAAATGACTCAGCTACATTACCCAAACCTTCCTCGATGTTGTAACCTGTCCGAGCATTTCCCTGAAGACTTCGTTTACACATGGCGTGATTTACATTTGAGTGAATCATAGCTCTAATCTACGTCACACATGTATGTGGATGTAAAAAAAATCTGGATGCACTCCAGAGGATAAATAACGAGTGGGGTGGTGTGTTCGCATGGCACAGCGTGTGCTTTCACAGCCAAGCATATTTTAATTCACAGCAGTAAAAAACAAGCTTAAAACAATGAAACATTCCTCAGTAATAACAGTATGAAGCAGACACTCCCAGGGTATAAAGAACATGTGCGACATTGTGTTCAGCTACCAGTCGTTCCTGTTTTTGTTTTGCATCGGGATGGAACATTAAAATTGTCTTATTTGCAAATACAGCGTTATGCCTGGAGCGATGCAAATATTGTGGCACGAGAGTCCCTTATTAAAGAGGCATGGTGTGTTAAACCAAACCTATGTTACACGGTATCAAAAAACAGGTGGAATATTTTTTTATCAAACCAACATTATGAATGTGTTATTTCCATGGCAACGTAGCCATTTAGAACAAATATTATTAATATGAATGATATACATTGCGATGTCTTACTATGAAATGCCCAAATCCAATGTGGGAAGTTTTTACAGAACGTCATGTTCAAAAATCTGTTGAATGAACAAAAAGCGATATGTAAAATAAACCTATAAAAAAGGAACCTATCAGAAATGTCTTTCCTCAAAATAACCCAATTCAATTCATCTATTAATACGTCATTTAGCGGGACATTTGACAATGGGTGAAGAGCGACGCAGATGATGACAAAAGCCTCCACACGCTACACAGCATCATTGAGTAACCGTTGGCACGTTGATTAACGTTAGCTACAGAGGATGTAGCTTATACCAATTCAAAAAAGTCCACACAAATTTGCCCAAACATAATTCTACAAACAGATATTACGCAGTAATGAGATTACAGCAGTCAGCCAGAGAGTGATACCCTGCTTATCTGGCAGGCTGGAGGCTTTCTTACCTTCAGAGGAGAAGAAAACCGGGTCAGTCGTGTCTCTACCAGAAATGACCGAGAGTTACCTTTTCTGAAGAGCTAGAAACCCGGAACTACTACGTCATCTGATTCCATATTTCTGGACCAATCAGCAGCCGATGCAGATTTGCCCGGATAGGAAAAAAGTGCTGCTCTGTTCCTCGGATGTTGTGCCCGTCACGTAGTTGTGTCAATAATGTTATTTAAAGGGTATTCACTTTATACACCCATGAATTACATGCCCCCTCTTTTGTTTTTGATTAAAATATAGCAAAACACTGTAAAGAGAGGTATATATTTATTTCAGTAGATCATATAACAAATATATATAATTTGAACACCTTAATAATAACTTAAGACATAAAAAACGTCCAACACAAAAAAAAAACACCTTTATCAATCAAATTAAAAAAATGAAACCACATGTTATTTATTTTATTGGCTATATAAACATTTAGGTAGTATATTAACCTTTATATATAGGCTACAGTCTATGATATTAACCCAGAAACTTAACCCAGCAAAAGGTGTCTTCTGCGTCAATACAAGTCTCAGTGCACTGGAGAATCCAAATAGTTATTCTCTGAAATAAACGCATTTTCGTTCACATCAGAGATCTTCAAATTACACGGTGTAAGTTACATATCGCAATATTTGTATCTCCAAAACCTTTCACGAAATGCAAGCGAATTGACAGACTTAGGCATTTTACCTTTTTTAAAACCAATATTATTTGTATTATTTAGTTCGTTCATTTGGAACTGTTGTTTTTAGCCTCTTTGTAATTGTACAACAACACATAGGGGCCCAGTATACTGCAATATGCATAACACCAGCTTCATCTCGATGTCGCCCTCAAGCGGTGAACAATTATAATAACTTATTCGTGGGGAACCCTTTATGTCTATGGGGGAATCTGAAACAAATTGAAAATGTAAATTGCAAAGTAGTTTTTATTTTATAGCGAAACAGAATTGTCCCAACTAAACATTAACAACTAAAAGAAGCGGGAATTTAAAAATAACAAACTGTCTCCCTAATTTCCTATATACTATGAGCCTTATGTACCTTATGTGGAGTTATTACAAGTTGTGTGTTACGTAATTGTGTTGTCTTAATTTTGTGTCAAACATCTTTTTTAACAAAAAAACATTTTAAACGTTTGCAGTAGACCTGTAGGAGGCAGTGTTGTCGAGTTGACGGGTGAGGTGGAGGTGCGCTTGTTTTGTGAACCAGAGACACCCTTCATAGTTGAACCATGGATGTATAATAATGAACCCGCTGTGAAAATGATTGCAATTTCAATGTTCATAATATAATATGCACCCAAATTAAAGGGCTGAACATAAGTATTTTGAAGTGTATGCGGTGAATGAGTGACAGTGTTTACATTCTTAACAGTGTTAAAAAATGTTCACTTCAATGTTACCACCGCCCTCACGGACTGTCTCTTTATAAAAACGCTCGCACCAAAAGCCGTTGCGCCACCACGTGTCTCATTGCTGTTGCACAAAACATCACGAGTGGCTGCTTCAGCTGTGTGTGTTACAAATACTGCACATGGTAGCGTTTGGTAGCTGCTTGTAGCGACGGACATCACCGGGCCCCATACTCTGAACTTTTTTGAATTCTTTGTTTACAAGTTAAAGCACAACGTTTACTTTAATTTCTGCAAGTTGTAAAACAATTACAACTTTGAAGTCAGCGTTCAAGGCTGTGCGCGAGCGTTATATAGCGAGTTTGAGGACGTTGATAAACAGTTGTAACTTGTCCCACTCCGCCTGCAGCAGCCACGCAGAAGCTATCATGTCGACCGGCTCAAATGAAGTTAAAAGCTGCCCCATCCCCACCAGGGTGCTCACCCTGAAGGACTGGTCCCAGCTACCCGACATTTACAGCCAGACACCCGGGGGCACCCTGTTTTCCACCACGCCTGGAGGTAAGACTCGCGGGGTGCAAGGCTTTCTGTCGAGGGTTCACCCAGGCTACTTTTGTTTTCGGAAATGAGTTTTCATCACGGAACTTTCCAGAAAAAGTTAGCTAAAGAAAAGCGTGTGAATTCGTGCGAATGGACACAACCCAACGAAAAGAAGCTGCAAACAGTACAAGAGTGATTGAAACGCGTGTCAAAGTGGTTGTCTAACTATAATTTACCAATGACAAGATATAAGTTGTATACAAATGTCGCGTAGCTCACATTCTGCACGGTGACAGTTGGCTGCAGCTCTCATGTTGTCAACAAGCTGTCATTTTAGGACTTTTTGCAATGCTTTTTGATGGAAACAAAAAGTACTTTTTCATAGATTACATGCACATACACTTAGTATTGAGCAAAACATCTTTTTTTTAATAATAACGTTTTAAACTACAATAATAATAATACGTTACATTTATATAGCGATTTTCCTGGTGCTCAAAGCGCTTTACAAGCAAGTAAATACAATGTAATATACTACACAATAACAGATATGTCAAGTATGTTTTTCTAATGGCAGCTTAAACCTTGACATGACACAAACAAACACGCATTGAGGGCTGAACAGTCACTTGTTGCTGGATCGGAAACACACACGTAAGTCTGAAGACAACATAGCTGTCTAACCATGACTTGTGATTTAAAGAGGGTGTGTTTGTGTTCAGTGATTGGCCCCTGCCATGGTGGAGGAGGTGGAGGCCCTCCTATCCCCTCTGCTGTCTGCTTTGCATTTCAGGAACTGTAGAGAACATTCTGTACACGTTTAAGAGGAGGCGGTGGAAGGGGGGGCAAAGGAAATGTCTAATGCATGGGACTAAGACAAGTGTAAATAAACACAGTTTTAATGTGTGCCCAACATTGATCGCTATGGTAAACATTGCACAACAACTTGCAACTCAGTTTTGACTTGTTCCTCTTTATGTGCAACACATGTCCCTATAGTGGGGTCCTGCCATGTGTCGCTAGCCCGGCCCCTCTTTTACATAACCCACTCTAAAGCTTTAAATGCATTGCTAGCCTATAGCTTGCATTCCAGCCCTCTTTCCTCGCCCCAGTTCTCCCTCCGCTTCCCTTTGTCCTGGAAGAGCTGCTCCCCACAGCTATTACATAACGTGTTTTTCCTCGTGTCGAGGTTGAGCTAGTTCAAACTCTAATAAAGAAGCAGCAGTCCCCTCCTTGATCCAAGTCACATCCTGGTCAAAGTTATCACAACACATCATTTATGAGGCTGTTTTTTTCCGTTTGGGAGTTCACCACATGAGAGTTGCAGCAGTGTTTGTGTGGTGATTAATACGTGGCACAGCTGTGAGGAAAAACTTGAAAAGCAGATCCTGGATGCAGACCTAAACATGTAGCATCTGCCAATCGAGTTTCCCCAGTTAAAGGACAAACATGTGGTTTTAATCTCAAGGCCTCTCCCTTGAAAGAGAGAAGGTTTTGTACTCTGATTTCCTAGAACTCATAGCAGCCCTCCCCTCTGCACCGCAAACAGAATCCTACTGAAACCCCCTCCTGTAGAAGATACTGATACAACACTCCCCAGATGTGCACCATGCCATGATGCACTTTGTAAAAATAATCATAAATTCGATACTCCGGCAGTTGGTATGTTTTATATTGGTTTACCCCAGGACAAATACAATATTTTCTTTCTTTTACTTTCTCATAAACACAGGTACACGCATCATCTACGACAGGAAGTTCTTAATGGATTGTCGAAACTCTCCTATCGCCCGTACCCCCCCATGCTGTCTTCCCCAGATTCCCGGGGTAACAGTACCTGCTTCACACCCCATGGGGAAACTGCAGGATCTCAAAGAGGAGGAGGAAGAGGAAGAGAAAGACATTGCAGGTAAACTATTTATCGCTTGCTTTTTACGAGTGGACTTAACCAGTAAACAAACACACAGTTCAGTCCTTGTCCATATATCTTTAATTCATTTGTGGTTTTATGAAATCAAAATAATTAATGTAAAAGAGGTTAACAACACATATCAATTTCCCGATGCATAGAATGATTTTACAGATGTGTTGGGCTGCAGGAATTGGGGCAAAAATAAATAATTGCGGTTATTACGATTTTAAAAGCGATAGGTCATTTGTGCATCATTATTGAAAAATATCTAAAAATGATCAAGAGGCTCGTTACCAGACATACGTTTGGTTCGGTCTGTACTAGGGCTGCTCGGTTATGGCAAAAATCATAATCAAGATTATTTTTGGTCAATATTGATATCACAATTATTAAATACGATTATTCATTGACTTGAAAACATCAATTTATTGAACTTTAAAAAATAAAAATAATAATAATTTGAACAGTATGTTTTTAACAGTTGATTACCCTGAACTTTAAGTATAATTCAACTGAAAAACCAATACAAAAAACTAAAAATATACATTATATCCACATTTAAATAAATAATATCAAAATACCAATGAAGCGCACTTCCACATCCTACTAAACATATATACATATGATAACTAATGTCACTCACAACCTGTAATGTTGAATTATACTACTACACGCAGTACTCTTATTTTGGTAACCCCTTATCCGGAAACAGGAAGTAGTTTAGAGGCTCCGGCTTGACGAGTTAGTAAAAGTTGACTGTACGCTAGGGTCCGGAGAATAAAGAAAATCAGCAAAAATAATCGTTTTATTTCGATTACGCTGTTTTCGTAATCGTTGCAAGCCAAAATCGAGATGAAAATACGATTTAATTGCACAGCCCTAGTCTGTAGGCTGGGATATCTCTGCAGCTCCATAGTACTTAATTCATAATAATATATAAACATGTATTTAGCATTTAACAAACATTGTGCTTCCTGTGATTTGAATATAGATCCATAGTGCAATTAAGATAGAATTTCAATGAACTGTGCAGCCCTGTTTTCAAGTTTTTTCTTTTAGATACTAACTGAATGTTACGTCGTCATGAGTATCAAACATGTACTGCAGTTAGGTGCAGCATGTGTCCCAGCAATATCATGGCTGCATTTTTTTTGCAGCACAATTGGTTAAAGGTCGGGACAGGAGTGCTCAGTCATTATCGCCACGTGTTAGTTCAGTCTTTCGACTCCATCGGTATTATCATGCTTTGGAAACTAGGCTAGTGACTTATTACGCAATAATCACAAAACGCAGCTATCACCATCAGACATCCCAGTGTTTCCCCTACCATTGTCTTGGAGTGGCGCTGAGCCCCGCCAACGGAGCCCCGTGTCGCGCCAATGGAGCCCCGCGCCCCCCTGAAATTCAAGGTGTTTTAAAAAATATATATATAGCACCATTATCTCATGAAATATGCGCATATTTTAACACATTTCAGGAACCGAAATCTGAACTTTGGATAAAGCCAGGTTCAAAATTCTTGTTTCATTTTGTAGTCATATTAGTATCTAAGGCTTTTACAGAAGGGATTTTGGATATCTCTTTTTATCACTCCATAAATCAGAAAATACTGTCAACAGCCCTAAAATATCAATTTTTGTGTTATATAATTCAGGCTATGAATGATATATGAACAAACCCTTCTGTAAAAGCCTTCATAATATTGATAGGAATATAACTGGAAGGTTTGGTGTATGTAAGTGCTACTGAAGTGGACATTTCAAACTCTGAGTAGGAGAAAAAACTCATTTTGAGAAAAACGACCTTTAAAGATTGCAGTGAGGCGCTAGCTAAACCCTCCTGTTCTCTGGATGACAGTTTGTGCATCGACGCACTCCGTGACGGTATTTCATGTTCGGGGTAGGGCTGTATCCGAATATTTGTTCGTTGGAATACTATTCGTTTTGTTTGTTTTTTTCCCGTTTTTTTTCTAATTTATTGAAATCTCCAATATTAACGTAAGAGCTTGTGCCTCTTCGGGGGGTGCTAACACTTAACCATAAACGTTATCGTTTACTTTCTCCGTCTTCATATAGATATTACTTTTCTCCGTTAATCTCAGTCACGTTGTTTTCAAAGCAACAACAACTTCCTGTCAAGAGCGCTACCTCTCTTCAAAATAAAAACATGTCCATAAATAGGAAGCCAAGCCAAATTACACTTAAGACATATACAACAGCAACGAAAGTAACAAACACAATGCGATTATCCTTTTCAATTTCAAAGAACACAAATTCGGTTACATTAAAAAANACGTTAATGATGACATGTGCACAGCTGTATCCCCTCTCATCGGGCTTAACTGAATAACCCTTTAGAACCGGCCCATTTCTGGTTAAATATTTATTTAAATGAATATTTAAATAAATATTTAACCAGAAATGGGCCGGTTCTAAAGGGTTATTCAGTTAAGCCCGATGAGAGGGGATACAGCTGTGCACATGTCATCATTAACGTCCCAATTAATACCTGAGGACTCCTTTGTCCTCGCGTCTCCTCCTCGTGTCTCTCGCTCGCATCCTATGGAGGCGGAGCAAAGACGCAAGGAAGGGACGCGAGTGAGGGAAAGGAGGAGGTGAAATATTCAATTGAGATGAGCCTTCAGTATCTGATATATTCCCAAATACCGATATCTCTGATGTCCATGTTGTAGAAGTTTTACTTCTTTACATACAGTACCAGTCAAAAGTTTGGACACACCTTCTGATTCAATGATTTTTGTTTATTTTAATGTGTTTCTACTTTGTGTATTAATACTGAAGACATCAAAACTATGAAAGAACACATATGGAATTATCTAGTTAACAAAAAAGTGTTAAGAAATCCAGAATATGATTTTTATTTTATATTCTTCAAAGTAGCCCCGTTTTGCCTTGATGACAGCTTTGCACACTCTTGGCTTGTCAGCTTCATGAGGTCGTCACCTGGAATGTAGGTCTGCAGTAGCCAGCAAAAATATAAATCATATTCTGGATTATTTTTACACTTTTTTGTTAACTAGATAATTTCAAATGTGTTCTTTTATAGTTTTGATGTCTTCAGTATAAATCTAGAGTGTAGACAAAATTTAAATAAATACAAAACTTCGAATGAGAAGGTGTGTCCAAACATTTTACTGGTAGTGTTATGTACATTGAACACACAGTAGCTCAATGTAGCTGCTTTATTGTGAACGTCCAGCAGGTAACTGACAAAGTGACTATAACCCACAACACGTCACAGGGTGGCGCACTCACTATGGTGGCCTACAATGGACACAATCTTATAATTCACCGAATGATCTACACATGTCGATGTATTAGTCAGGCTTAAATGACCTCAGACAAATGATTTATAATAACTGGAGTATTTGTGTTTCCCATTTCAGACAACAAAACAAGACCATCACTCACCCTTCTTTTCTTATCCATGCAGTCGTAATAAATGTTGACAAATTCTTCTGAATATCGGCATGACTGGTCGACATGGGTCCTGAAATTCTAGAGTGAAAAATCACTTATTGAAAGCTAATAGCAAATGTTTAAAATAAACAAACATGACAAGGTGTGTGAGACGGTCAATGCATTTTAAAAGTCGCACATTGGAAAGTGACGTTACCTACTAGCTAGCAAAACAACGCGTTAGCTAGTTCCTTTCAGCATAAAGTGTAGCACAAGTTTCAAACTTACCAGCAGCGGGCTAGCCATTTTAGAGTTGTATGGAGCGGAACAACTCTGGATGTATGAACTATTATCGAATAGTATAGTGAAAAATAATGTGAGCGTCAATTAAGGTAGCGTTTCTTTTCTTGTTCATTTGGATTTAGCATCCAACGCTGCCATTTTGACGCATGAATTACTTCCTCTGGGCACTAACTATACCTACCAAAATAAAACGTGTGTGTGTGTTTTATATGCAACGAGGGCCTCTGATAGCGTGGTTTCAAGACTATGAATACCGTGTTACACAAATTATATTTGACAAGTGATACAAATGTAATAATATAATCCAATTAATAATAGAACCACATACGAATTTAGCCTCAACGTCGGGTGATGCCGCTGATAGTATTTTACTTTGAAGGGTGAATATAACGAAAGAGCGGAAGTAGAGTTCATAGTTTCCTGAGTCACGGCTGCACCGCTCAAACAACCTGAAACAACCCCACTTTGCTAACTACTGTGTACATTGTTTATATCTTGAATTATTTTTAACAATGGAGAGCACTGTATCAAATGTAAAGGTCTGTAATTTAGCTTTCACGGGGGAGTTTGAAAAATTAAAAGAGTGCATCCTGGCTGATAAATCGCTTGCCTGCAAAACGGACCAGGTAAGAATGAATGTTTTAAAATAAAGACACAAGTCAAGGGAAATTGTTCACATCTTTTAAGCATTCTAGGGATTCACCCACCGTTTCCTGTGGTTTCAGGACTGTAGAACCGCTCTGCACTGGGCTTGTTCAGCTGGACACACCAACATTGTGGAGTTTCTGCTGGACCTGGGAGTGGAAGTGAATCTGCAAGATGATGTAGGCACTTCTACAACTAAATGTTTACAAATGTTTGGTTGCAGTATTTTTGTCCTCTAATGTAGTGCATAGCAGTTAGTATTATATACTATTGTCCTTATACTACAGCAAATACCCAACTTGATACACATTCGAGAATAATGAATAACTTAAACGTGTCTCTCTAAACCCTCTTGCTTTTAGAGACGTTGCATTTATAATAACCATGTAAAGAAAATGTAGTAGAATTGATTTTTTTACAGTTGTGGAAGAAGTACTTAAATAGTTTAAATAGCAAAACCAATATTTTCAAAAATACACACAAGTAAACAAATAGAGTAAAAGTCCTGTATTAAAAAGCCTACTTAAAATTAAACACATATTGGCAAATACTCAAACTACCAAAATGTAAAGTTCTCCTAATCGCCCATTTCAGAATCATGAATATTAAATAACTGCATTATAGTACAGCAGATAAGCTCTCATATTATAACAATTGTGCATTTTATGAGAAAAGCGTGACATTTCTAACATAGTTGGTACATACCATAAGGTTTATTTTCAGATGTGGAGGGAAGTCACATTTGACCTGTGAGGACCGTGAGAGGTCTAATCCAAGATGGCCTCCAGTCTCTCGGCTCAAATGTTCAAACACTCTTAATTTTCGATATTATGATTATTGATGCTTTAATGTGTCTCTCACATTAAGCTGGTAAAAGTGGCACTCATTTGTATTACTTTGTTTACTACTGCTGGATATCTTAACCTATAAATTCAATAGTGTTTAATTTTGTAGTTTAGCTATTTTGCATTAGCTCATAATGTTGGTCTATAAAGTTAGTTAAAGATTGTATATAAAACGTTTGTAATCTTGTAGTTTTTACATTTTAAATGTCTATAAGATGTAAAATAAATGACAAAATATGTATAAATCCGAATGCCATGTTGTAGAACGTGAACAGACATAATATTGTGTAATCTAAAGATGATCCAATTCACTTTCTGTTATGGATTGACAACATGTGATGTTTTGCTTCCCAGGCTTTGTGGACCCCTCTCCACATCGCAGCGTCAGCAGGCAGAGAGGACATAGTGAAGGCTTTAATATCCAAAGGAGCTCAGCTGAATTCAGTGAACCAAAATGGATGCACAGCTCTGCACTATGCCGCCTCCAAAGACAGATATGAGGTAAGGCTCCCAGGTTGTAGTTACTTTGACTGATACTCCGATCTCATGAAGAAGACTATACTTCATGCTTGTAATCCTAAACTTGTATTAAGTGTTTTCATGATGCTATATACTGTATATATTTCACACAGGGGTGGAACTTTAAAGTTGTTCCTCTCCACATTTTTCACATAACCCATGAATCCCATTAGAGTACAGCATAGGTATGAAGAATAACTTCTGTAGTGTCAAATATGTTTTTTTGTTGTTTTTTTTACCATCAGCTGTGTATTAGAAGCTTTGGTCTGAAAATGGAAAGCAGTATCATATCTTGATAAAACGACTTACCTTCTGGCCACATGATATCATATAATATTTGTTTACTTTGCTGTTGGGGGTAGAATGATCACTTGGATAATACATATGCTGCAGGATATAATTTCTATCAACTTCTTTTTGCATTTAGTAATATTTGAGAACAACAGCACGATCAGGCTACATTTTATTGAGAAATATCTTTAATGTGTATTTCTTAGGACTGGGGCAGAATATTAGAAAGTCCTTCGATATAATGCAATCGAGTGCAACACCACAACTAACTATGACCTCATTGCTGAACGAGGATTGAATAAACTCCTCTTTGATTGTGTAAAAATAAAAACACATTAAAGAACTCGTATAAATTAACATTATTTCAGAACAGCAGTGTTGGATGTTTCTAGATTGTACTGGTGTACCTAATATAGTGGCCACCAATAAATGTTCGATGTATAAATAAATATGTAAAAAAACTTGAAAACTCATCCCGAGAATGCTTCCATTTTTCTAAAGAAAAGTTGTAATGTATAACCCTAAATACACTTGTCTTTTTTTTTGTATTTAGTATTGAATTGGGAGAAAATATGTTGGTGTACATTGTTTACCCCTGCAGGGGACAAAAACATGCAGCAAGTCACAGTAACACAAGATGCCTACAATGCATTAACATGGAGTTTGACATTTTACCTGTGGCATGCCATTTTGAAACCTACACAACAGGATCTGAAGATGTGTTTTTCATATAAATGGGAAGTCAGTGTTAGTAGGATACTTTCACTGACGTTTTACTACCAAATCTTTCCTCTCTTTATAGATCGCCCAGCTGTTGTTGGAAAGCGGAGCAGACCCCAATATCAGCGACAGATACGAGTCCACTCCCCTTCACAGAGCGTCTGCCAAGGGCAACCACCACCTCATCCAGCTGCTGCTCAAACAGAGCGCCTCCACCAACATCCAGGACTCACAGGGCAACACACCACTGTACGTGTGGATACGTATTTGACTTATACTACATTGGGGCTTTCAAATACTGTAGGCTAGAGTTTAAAACTACCAGCCCTTAAAGCAGTCGTTCTCAACCTGGAGTTTTGGAGATATTTCTGGGGGTGGAAAAAAACATCAGTAAAAAGTTAAATGTAGTATTTTAAACTGGGGATATCATTTGCTTTAGAATATATTTTATTGAGTGTTATACATCCACACAACCACCCCTTCATTTAGCTCTACTAATTTAACCTCACATCACACTTGCTTAACTTTAGGGCACAATCACAAGGCAGAAGTGTTTAAACCCCAAACATTAAAACACATGGCAACACACAGTGCATATTCCCCTATATTTGCAAACAATTTATGAACGATGATTTCCTGATTATTAAGGGGGTATGCAAACTCTAAAATGTTAAAAGAAAACCCTGCCCTAAAGTGTAAATTCAACAAAATGTAAATAATATTTTCTCACTTATCTTTAGAGAATTACAGTAATCCCAATGTGTGAATGTTTGTCTTAGATATGTTCACCTTTGGCCTAATACAGGGGTCTGCAACCTGCGGCTCTTTAAGCCCTCTACACTGGCTCCCTTGAGCTTAGACAAAAATAAGAAGGAAATAAAATATAAATATTTGTAGGACTATTTATATTTTGTTGCATGGTTGGTTTCGTATCTTGTATTTTGAGGTGATACTGTGACACATACAAAATAAAAATAAACGGTTTTAATTAGGTCAACTAAAATATGCGTTATATCCTGCGAGGGTCTCGCGCCAGCACCTTTTCTTGCAGGCGAATAACCTGATCCCCGGCTCGATGAGCGAACTATGGATAAATCAAAGAAAATAAAAGTATCGGAGGGACACAGAGGGTTTAATTCTGCGTGGTTAGAGTTATACTTTCACAGCAAACGATGCTGGCTTACCGGTATATTTGATATTTAGAGAGAAGTTGTCAAAGGTGCTGCAGCCTTTACGTATTGGAGGAAAAACACGGAAAAGGAAGACANCTAACGATGTTCAGTCATAATTCAATCACAACTATTTTTAGGGTGCAGCTATAGGTTTTATTTATTTTAAAGTAGGCCTGTGTATTTTTTTTAATTCTCCTTATGCGAGTTATTGGTTTATTATTAGATGTAAACAGTTTTCTATAATGTAATAAATAATACATGCAAATAAACTATAGTTTTTGTCTATGATATAACAATATATACAATATTATAGGCTATCAAGCTATCAAATATGTTTTGCGGCTCCAGACTAAAAAAATTGGTGGAAAAGGGGGCAAAATGGCTCTTTTGGTCAAAAAGGTTGCAGAACCCTGGCCTAATATAATGAAGGTGATTAGAATTTAGCATGGACTGCAATCACAATTTAAATTAAAAAAAAGAAAAGAAAAGCATCTTTGTATTTATAATTCTGCTTTTTTTCCCCAGCCATCTGGCGTGCGAGGAGGAGCGTGTTGAAGCAGCCAAGATGCTGGTGGAGCATGGGGCCAGCATCTACATTGAGAACAAGGAGGAGAAGACCCCGCTACAGCTAGCCAAGGGCGGCCTGGGCAACGTTCTGCGCCGGATTGTTGAGGGATGATTCATTTAATGACCCCATGTCTCACTCCTGCTCTGATCCCCACCATCATTAGAAATCTCCTCCCAGTCTGTCATCCCTGGAGTGATAGTCAGATGTGTAACAGGTCAAAGATGAGCTGGTCTGTACTTCATTGTTTTCAGACCCTTTGATGGGGCACTGAAACTGCTCTGAACTTAGATGTCTGATCAAAAACAGTATCCTGTGCAACAAGTTTGATTTAAATGACCAATTAAAATATGTTTTCAGGCCTGTTAAAATAGTTGAGGATGTGTTTATCTGTTGTACATGCGCTCATTAAATCCAGCAAAACATTCAATATGTGTTTTTGGCCAACTCCTGAGTGAAATGTCATGCTCTTTAGCTGTTAAATGCTTCAGCTAGTTGCTAACTCTGTCTGTCTGATGCTGAGAAGTTAATGTACAGTAGAGTTTAAGAACTTTTTCCTGATGAAAAATCCTGCCTTGTATGGCTGAAAACTAATTGAGAGAGAACCAAAACTTGTTGGTGTAATATAGCCAACAAGAGACCATTCATGTAAGAAGTAATTTTGGTAGCACATCACTGTATAACATTGGAGTTGTTGAATATTTCCAAAAAGAAAAAATCACCAAAATGATTCAAAAGCATATTTCTTTAAAGTAAGTGTTGTAGTATAACCAATAGGACACCATACAAGTATTAAGTGATTGTGGTAACACTTCACTCTATAACAGTGGAGTTGTTGCTTAGAGAAATTCAACTAAATGATTCAAAAGCATTTTTTTTCAAAATAGATGTTGCAGTATAACTAGTGGGAGACCAGACCATTGATGTGTGAAGCTATGTTGATACAATACTGTTGGACATGAAGGTTATGAACATTTTCCATTAACAATATTCACAACAATTTTGCAAATGCATGTTTTTCCAAAGCTATTGACTGGCGAAGTCCCTCCCCTTCCGGGGGGTACTCCATGGGTCCTTATTTCGGAAAAAGTATGTATTGAAGTCAATATAGAGAGAAAGATTATCTTTTGATCCCGTTTGAATTGTGCAACAAATTACACATGATGTTTGTCAATTTAAAAGATCATTTTGAAAGTCAAAAAAATAAAAATGTGTCGTAAAACTGAAGTAACACATTTTTGTGTGTGAAGCGCTCAATGAACTACAACTCTGGTCTTTTTATACGTCACCAACACCAAGATGGCCGTCACGTTAGCACATTTCACCTCTTTCTTTCAGAATGAAGCGAAAAGAGATTAAAATCACTAAAAGTCTGGCCATGTTGAGAACTGTACATACACAAAAGGGGAGTTAGTCTGTTCCGTAAGAGCCGGCTTTACAAGGTTTCGGTGAGTAACACGAGTGTAATGTGTAACGTTAATGTCAGCTAGCTAAATTCACTTATGCAACTCTGGGATTTGTAGTCTTTCTAGTTGCGTATTTTTCATAGTCTTATATTTCAACAGTTTTAAGACAAACTGCGACTTTTTTGACATGGAAATTATTTGTTAAGATTGACAAACATCATATGTGTAATTCGTGGCACAATTCAAACGGGATCGAAAGATAATCTTTCTCTCCCCATTGACTTCATGGGGCGGAAGTAGATAGGCGTGACTTCGCCACGGGGAAATCTAACCATCGGAAGAACATTATTGTATGAAGTAATTGTGTTACTTTGTATTTTTGTTTTCCACAAGAAGTAGCCTTTTCACCAAAATGATGCATAAGCCTATTTAGTTTTTTTGTAGATACTTATTCAAAGTAGTGAGATAGTGACTCAAAAATAATGAATATGTAAGTCAAAATAATAAGACAGTTGGAGTTTCTCAATGTCTTGAGGGGAAATGGACAACCACAGAAATCCCATAGGTAACGTTTAACCGCTAAACTGGTGCTTTCGCTTGAAAACCCCCATGCTAACAAGTTTCATTTTTTCCCCCGCAAAAAATTCCTATCTTCTCAATACGTCAGTGGTCAGCAGGGACGCGGAGAGGTGCGCACGCAAACTGCGCATGAGTTGCTTTCACTTCCTGGAAGCGAGGGCGCGTCAATAAACATTCTCTTTAATCATTGCGTTCCCCTTTAGGCTATGGTCACACCAGAGACTGGCTGAAATTGAAGACAAGAACTGACTTTGAACTTTTAAGGTAATAATTTAAGTTTTGCAGCGATAGTTTATCAAGTAACTTTTGTCCGCACGTTACGTAGACTAGACAAGCTAACGTAGCTAGCTAATGTTTGTAGCTAGCATTAGGTTAGATTATATCTGCTTTTATAAACCCAACATTACAGCTCGACTGAACAAGCCAAAGTCCAAATCCACTGTTTCTACACGTTAATGATGGTATGCGTACTTTTAGGGCAGTATATTGCTTTATTGGTCTGACAACTGAACGTAGTGTTAGCATGGTGTCAGCTGTCAGATGCGAGCAGCAGTTTGCTTTAGTCTGTGTTTACCTGGCAGAGACTATGGGACGGTTGTGAAGCTATTGTCAAGCTTCTAGCTGCGAGACCTTTCTGGAGTTTGCTAGATCAGTCATTATGGTCTGGCCATCAGAGGTGTAAGAAGTACTCAGATCTTTTACGAAAGTTGCAATAATACTTACAAAGTATTGGTATCAAAATATACTTCAAGTACATTTTCCAGTATGGCTCATATCAGATTTAAAAATATTACATTTTTGTGTTATAATTATTAATACATTAATGTCAGTGTTGCACTTGGTAAAAGTGTGGTTTATATAAATACCTTGATATACTGCATTGTATAAATGCAGAGAGTTATTGGTTTCTAGTACAAAATTGCCTACAAAATGTAATGTAGCATAACATGAAAATACTCAAGTGAAGTAAAACTACATCAAAATGGTACTCCAGCACAGTAAATAGTTTAATTTCACCACTTCTGGTCATTATTATAAGTGAAGATGGTATGCAGATTTCTGAGTCAGGGTTTCCACCTAGTAGGTTTCATACTGACACCATCAACTTGCAGATTCAGATACAAAATGCCTCAGACAAAATCCCCTTTTGTCTTACTATATCAAATTCAAAATGCATCCCAAAACGTTGCTATTGATCTGGTGATTGCGTTTTTTTTTTAAGAATGCAGACGTGTTACAAAGTTCAAAGATCAGAAGCGGCTCCCATCATTGAAACAAACATAGTACAATCTTAAAGATAGCAGTAGATCAATAGCGGCGTATTCAGCAATGATATAATGTGGCCAGAAGGTAAGTCGTTTTATCAAGATGTGATACTGCTTTCCATTTTCAGACCAAAGCTTCTAACAGACAGCTGATGGTAAAAAAAACAAATATATTTTACACTACAGAAGTTATTCTTCATACCTATGCTGTATTCTAATGGAATTCATGGGTTATGTGAACAATGTGGAGAGGAAAAACTTTAAAGTTCCACCCCTGTGTGAAATATGCATAAATTGAGGTGTGTATCAGTGTCATGATTACTGTGTTGCAACACATTTTCTCTTGTGACTAACGCACATTCTGTACCTTAGTCTACTTTAATGGATGCCACACCTGCGTAATGCTGATACTTTTAATCACTTTTATCTAATTCGTCTATTAAAGTATGTAGGACATAAAACATACTTATTAGACCTATTTGATTATCAGTGAATACCTGACTCTCCTTTCTTTTCCCCAAGGAAGGGTTATTATTGTGGGCCTTAGGTATGATGCCAGACTATTTTATTGCAGTGCACTGAGCCGAAAGCCATTGCTGAGTCTCTGGTGCCCATCTCTCACATGGATGGTCCAATGGCACCACGTGATCACACTTTAGTGTTTCTCTTAAAGGCGCAGTGGCCCTCCATGTGCCTGGTTGTGCTGATAGAGAGTAGGCCCAGAAATACGTTCAAGAAATTGACTAACATTTGATCAATTCATGGATTCGTTTTTTGGAAAGGTCTGTTTTGAATGAGTTTCTCAACTAAGGCAAGACAAGTTTATTTATAAATAACATTTGAACAACAGGGCAATTTAAAGGCTTTACAAAAAAAACTTGATAGCATTTAAAAAGGCAAAAAGAGACACATTATAAAATGTAATTTTTACAAGTTTTAAAGAAAGTAATTAAAAAGCCAGGTGAATACATATTCAAATGAGCTGAAGTAGAATAACAGAGGTATAAAGTACAAGAATAAATGTTACAGTAAGATATGAATAGTTATTTTAATAAAAGGCAGGGGCAAGAGAAAATAATCTTTCAAAACGCTTTAAATCTTTGTTTACCAGATATCTGCTTTCTTGAAAGTAAGTCAATTCAGCAAACTAAAATATATTACAAAAATAAAGAAATCTTATTGAACTAAGACCAAAACAAATGATTCGTCAACTAAGAGGAGACAGTCCCAATTAAACCACCAAACTGATTGATTTCGAAATACTTTTTTGACGCTTTGGCTAAATTATAGTCTGTTAGCTCATAGCTACTTTGTTTACCTTTTTACTAAGTGAGTGCTAAACGTGTAGCAAGCTTTCTCTGATATTAACTGACCCTTTTGCTGGACAAAATGTACTTTAATACCTTTAATACCTTTTTTTCTTCTATTTCATGTGTAGACATTTGGTCCACCAAGTTTCAGCAGTTTCCTCCCTGGTTCCATCATGTGTGATCTCAGACAAGACAGCGATTTGGAGACAGATCACATGGCTGATTTCTCCCAGATAAACATTCGCCTGGACTCATTCCGCGGCTCCAGCCTGGCCCAGCAGGTGTCCGCAGAAAGACTTGCCCGCGCCGGCTTCTACTTCACCGGCTACGCTGACCGTGTCCAATGTTTCAGCTGCGGGATGACCGTGGAGAACTGGTGCAGGGGAGACACGCCTGTGGAGAGGCATATAGAGGTAATCATAATGAAAAAACGAACATGGTTTATCTTTTAGGTTTTCATCCTGTTCTAATTCATACTAATCCCTTATATTCTCAGATCTACAGATAATAAAGTTAACTGTAGCATTTAATTATGCGAACAACACACAACAATGTGTGTGTTCTTTATTAACACAGCAACAACATTCATTCAGGAAACCATTGGAAAATGTTACTCTCAACACTTTATGTTTCCAGTGTAACACATTTACACTGTCCAAGGTAAAATATCACCAAAAATGCACATGCTTTTGAGAGATTGCATGTGTTAACGACAAAACAATGGTGAATCATGTCCTTAAAAGTACAATACAATATTTTTAAACTGAACATTCTCTTTTTTTTTCTTTTTTTATAATTATACTTTTATTATTCCTGGCACTTACTTGCACCATTTTGTCTCTTTCACTGTTTTTTTAATTTGTTTTTTTAGGTCATGTGTAATACATTTCCATTATAATAATGTATTATATGTCTAATATAATTAGCGTATTGTAACTAGGACTGCTCAATTAATCGCATTTTAATCGCAATTACGATTTTGGATTACAACGATTATAAAAACAACATAATCGAAATAAACGATAATTTTTTTTTTTTTAATTGTTTTAATTGGTTTTTCAGTTGAATTATACTTAGAGTTCAGAGTAATCAACTGTTAAAAACATACTGTTCACATTTTTTTTTTCAATAAATGGATGTTTTCAAAGTAAATGGAATAATCGTTTTTTAATATCGTGATATCAATTATTGAACCCAAATAATCGAGATTATGATTTTTGCCATAATCGAGCAGCCCTAGCTGTTACCTATTGTGCATTATGACAATAAATAATTTTGAATTTTTATTTCAGGTTTCCCCATCATTGCAGGTTGTCTGAGCTGCATCCACCGCAACCATTTCAACACAAAGTTTTGATACCAGCCCTGACTAACGGTTCCACCTACAACGAAGAAGCAGAAGACATGGAGTTTCGATTTGAGAAGTGGGAGAGGTAGTTGATGAAAGCACCTACCCGATGGTCCCTCACATGTGAGGAGCGAGGAGGCCCGGCTTCGGACCTTCTCTGCCTGGCCCTCTACTGGCTCCAGTGAGACCCCAAGACCTGGCCCAAGCCGGCCTTATTTTACCTAGGGTGAAGTAGACCACGTTGCAGTGTTTCTGCTGCAACAACATGCTGGGGGGCTGGGACGCGGGAGACACCGCCTGGGGAGAGAACACGCCAAACATTTCCCAGATGCTCGTTCATCCTTGGCAATGATGTTGGCAAGGTCCCATTAGCGGGGGGACGGTGGAGGAGGGATTGTGGGAGTAGACAACAGGCAAACGTTTCGAGCCCAGGATGGGGAGTTATGAAGAGAGGCTTGCTAGCTTTCGCGGCTGTTCAGCACCCTATTGACCCCGAGAGGCTGGCCAGAGCTGGCTTCTACAGCACAGGTAGAGCAGTGATGAAGACTTTCTTCTGAGCATTTATTGCTTTGTTTTGTTTTATAAATGTATCATATTAATTGTACTGAGTGAGTAAGGGTTTGAATACCCTACTTTCAATATTTTCAACATGTTAGCACAATTTTTTATTTATTCCAAAAATAAGCTGTAACCTATGCAAGCTGCGATTCTACGATATGCTATGTTATTGCGATACGGATTTAAACGCGACCGGCGCATTTCTGATTCTTTTCTCTGCTGACTCCATCTTTGTTTTGACTTTACTTCCTGCCAATCCCACGACTTTACCCATGGCTCAGCATTCTAGTTGTATTGAAAAAGCAATTGTTCCAAAACTTTAATTTGGATTTTCCAATATGAATAGTTTATATTAATAATAATATCAATACTTGGCGTCCATGTATCGTTACAATATCGCCATGCAAAGTACACGATACTATGCCGGTATCGATTATTCCCCCCACCCCGCTACTATAAACAATACTTCATCCCCACTGATCACATCATATTCATGCTTGCCCCCATCCTTAACACACACATGTGGCCCACAGACCATGATGGAGAAGTAAAAAAAAAAAAATCTGATGTTTAATGATAGTTTGGGTATAATTGCACAAAAGATTTAATTGTTTGTGTCCTTGCAGGTGCAAGAAGACAGGGTCCTGTGTTTCCGCGTGATGGAGGTTTGAAAGGATGGCAACCTGAAGGAAGACCTTGGGAAGAACATGACAAACACACCCTGGGTAACCAACTATGAGGTCCCTCTTTCTAATTCCTAAAATGTATGGTAGATTTAGTTCTAACCACACTTTTTTCTGATTTTTTTTAAACAGGATGCAGTTTCCTGTTAGCAGAAAAAGGACAAGAATTTGTTAAACACATCCAGCTCCAAGACCCTCGGACG